GATGATCTGTTCTCTCCGCTTTTGCGACCACCTCTGTTCTCCTATATTGGAGCAATGAATTCGTTCTCGTAAAAATTAGGATCCCGAGGTGTGTTGCCATATTTTTTTGTCCACTCTGAAATTTGCCATAGTCTGTTATTTGTAAATTGGTTGTTGTATCCATCTATAGTAGATATCAAGCCTGAATCCTAAACTTGGTTCAGTTCAACTGTTGTATATCAATCTATACTTAATGTCATGTCTTAGCATTGGTGCAGTTTGAGTGCACGTTCAGTTAGTAGTTAGTTATGATGGTGTTAGTTAGTAAGTGATGGATGAATTTGCTATGCAGAAACCATAGGTGATTGAAAATGCAAAAGGCGCGGGGACAACGCTTTCCATTGTTGCCAATAATCAGAATGGTGGCCTACTGATCAGTATCACTGTGAGTCGGTAAGCAGTGACCAACGTCCACAACACAATTCGTGGGTATGTGTATGATCCCCTATCCTAATTCATAATTTAATAGTTTAAGAATATTCAAGTAACTATATATAATATTGAATACAAGAATAATCTATGCACGCTCTTCTTAAAGATGAAATCTAATCTACAAATAGTGTAATGACATCTTTGTGCATTGCATAAACTTTTAGTTGTAGTTTCTAATGTTGTACATCACATCTTTGAGAGCAAATGGGCATTGCATGCTGGGCTAGGATGAATGTCGTTTCTTTTTCCCCTTTTTCAAGGCTTATAACTGAATTTTGTTTATTGTCTACTTCATAGTTTGCAGTTCGTGGTAGGGAGACACATTATGTACTCTAATGGTACTATCATGGCTTGAAAAATTGATTCTAGCAAAGGAGAAGAGTTTATTATTTTTCACCTGTTTCTGCCAGTTTTGGAAGAGTCTTGAAGTTCTTGCTTTCAAGACTTTGAAGCATAAAGGTCAAGCTTTGGGTTGTCTTTGAATATGTCGCATAAGCTACTGATGTTGTAAAGAGGATGCATGGGTTTTCTTTCTATGGTGAGTTGTTGCAGCCCCTAACTGCCTAATGACCACTCCTTATATGTAAGTTGATGGAAATGCCTTATATATTGTGATGAAATACTTTTTTGTGAACTTAAGCAAATCTTTGTGTAAACTTGTGATTATGAGGTTGCTTGAGTAGTCCATCATAGTCACAATTTTCTTGATTTCAAACTTGTTACCATTAAATTGCAAAGTTAAACTACTGCAATTTTGATGTGTCTATTGTGCAAATTTGGGCCATGAGTGGAAAGTCAGTCTTTTTTGGGTCTAGGTCAATTATTTGACTTTTACTTTTGTTTTTCTATATTTTTGGGCAATCTCTTCTGACCATATTTAGGCCTTTAATCTTTTATTATACCTTCTTCATGCTACTTATGGACTTATGGGTGCTTTGTAATAAATTGTTTTTTATATGCATGCATATATTATATTGTTTATTCGTTTGTTAAAAGTTTTTAACTCCGCCTATGGTGGGTTACCTATCCATATATGTCTGTGACTGTGTTGATTTCTTCACAATATTTGTCTATTGTCCTTCCATAGAAAAAAATTGTCTATTGTAATTGTTTTTGTGCTGTTGCTCCCCATCTTTGCTTATAATTGTGCTAGTTTGGGGAGAAAATGTTGTCTATTGTCCTTCCATAAAAAAAAATGTCTATTGTATTTGTTATTGCTGCTCCTCCCCGTCTTTGCTTGTACTTGTGCTAGTCTAGGGAGAAAATTTTGTCTATTGTTCTTTCATAGAAAAAATTGTCTATTGTAATTGTCTCTTGTAATCTACGTTTGTGTTATATGAAGTAGGCTAGAGGTAGAAGATTAGCTTGGGATTGCGTTAGATGAAGGATGTTGGATGTAGAACAAGAGTTGCGAACTTTCATGCTCACAAGCGATTTGCTTGGACTATCCTATGTTTTTTGTGCTTGTCCAAGACTATCCTATGTTGACCATTTTTATATGTCTTTGTTGTTCTAGGGCCTGATTGATTTTCCCAAAGACATCGGCCTTAGCCTTGTTGTAACAAGAAATGCTACTACAAAACAAATTGGGCACATGTCATCGTCTTGTCCTATTATTTTAATATGTTATGATATGATAGTCCAGATCATGTTCTTTATTGAGTTAAACCATCCTACAGATATTAGTGATGTTAAACCAACACTTCTAAGTGCCCTAGATATATACTAAATATGAGAAAAAAATCCTTTTGAGGTATGATGTGTTTGTCACTCTCTGTAAAATGCTTACTTATTGTGACTTTGATTTTCAATGACATTAGGGTCTTGCTGCTCCGAAGAGAGCAGTTCGTTTTCTCGATACTCCATCTTTCGTCTTAAAAAGCTATAGGAACCTTCATTCGAATAATTTCAAAGGCCAGATTCCCTCCGAGCTTGGTCACATTGTGAGCTTGGACACACTGTAAGGAGACCCATTTTATCTATTACCTAGTGCTATGAACTCTTAGTTCCATGTAAGGATGCAGCTTTGCAGCCACTTTATTATGGTCACTAGCTTCTTCCTTTATTGTGGCACATAGATCTTTCCTATAATGAATTTTGCCAAGGAGTTATAGAGAAAGACAAAGTAGTGGAATGATATATTCAAGCAAGACAAAGTAAGCCAAACTTGTCCATAGAATTTTGGATACTCACATTCATTTCTTTTCTTTGTTGTTCTTGTCCATAGCAGTTGTAGTTCACCGGTGCTGTGGAACTCTCCTGTTCATGACAAACAAATAAATAAAACACAAATATCATAGTTACAATCAGGAATAGTGTAAATTACAAGTATGTAGTACTGCAATTGTAGTTGTTATAATATGCAATAAGTTCAATTTTTACAAACCATATTGTGTATTATTTTGACTAGTTACCATGTGCGTGCAGTTGTTACGATAGATATATGGTATTTCTACAAACCATATTGTCTAATGTTGTCCTTGTCCTTTCATAATAAAAAAGGAACAACAGTGCATCGGAGGGATTAGGCAAACCATGAGGTCTCAGCGGCAAAAGGCTGTTACCGCTACACCCGTCTATCTGAATTTTTAGAGATGAAATGGATTTATAGTTTAATTACTTCAGGGATTGGGTTTGTCAGGTTGCTCTTGTCGACTTGTACAATGAAAATGCTAATACGGCTTGGTTAATGTATAATATTTATTTAGAGATGAAATGGTTGGATTTGATCTTTTGTTGTAGCCTGCCTACCACATATGACTGAAGCTTTGTGTTGGAAGGCTAGTATGCATTTCCCTGTGTTGACCAACAGCACTAGTTGTTTTTGGTTGTTGTGTGTTGGTTGATTTAATCCCTAGTTGCCTTCAATTAGCCTATGTATGCGTTGTAATCTTCAGCTGTGCTTCCACTTTAAGTGTTCTTCTCTGACAGACTACAAGTGCAACAGAATATAACAGCAACAAATTACAACAACCACAAAATCCGTGTGCTACTTTCTCCTAAAACACACGGTTTTTTCCCCTAAAGGAATTTGTGTGCTAGTTAAGGAAAAAACACATGGATTTTCTTTCTGGACTGCAACTCTTGTGTTACCTAGGGTACAAAAAAAAACGTGTGCTAGATTTTAAAAAAACACATGGTTATTTGAGGGCTTGAATTCGTGTGTTTTTATGCTTGAAAACACCCGTGTGCTGTTTCTTCATAAAACACATGAGTGTGGAGTAGACAAGCCCTTTTTTAATACTTCTATATTTCGATTATTTCAGGCAACACTCTTGTATCACCAACTATACTACAAGTAAATTGTTACTTTTATGATTTGTTATTTATCTTTGTGTCATACTCCTAACATTTTAAATTTTTGTCCTTGTCTTTCTATAGAAATAATTGTAAATTATTAATTGCCTTTGTGCCAACACAAATTAGATTTTGTCAGATTTGTGGTTTTATCTAACAAGTTTTTTATTCTCGGCACCAAAAATTGCAAATTGCGGCAACGGATATTGCAATGAGCGAAATCAGCAATGTTAATATAAAATATATGCAATAACCATAATCTGAAAGTAAACTAAAATTTAGGCACCTGAATTTTAGATAGTTATTTTTTTAATCGAGTAAGTACGGGAAAGACGCAGTACCACCGAACGAGCATGCGTGTATCTTGCTTTTTCTAGAAAAAATCCAAAAAAAAGATGCTGACACTAGGGTTTAAACCGAACAACGTCCCACTGGACTGCACTGTTAGCAGACCACATGTCCTTTCGCACTGGCGCCATGCTTTTAACAATAAAATGATTGCGGGCTGTCCACAATAGACATGGTCAAAAGTCCTTCTGAGACCGAGTCTGAGATAAACACCGGCGACCGCTGGAGCATCAATCAAGAAGACAACGGCACGACCTCGCTCGCTCTCATTCACGTGGTGAGTGTGACTGACGGACCAATCAAAATCACTTCACAGCGCACGCACGTTTCTTATCGCCAAAAAAAAAAAAAAAGCGCACGCACGTTTCTAAAGGAAATAATCTTACGCATGGATCCATCCAAGTGCTTGCATCGATGCTGACATGTCCAGCCGCTAGCACGGGTAAACCGCTCGCGTTCGTGGAATCAAAGATGCCTTCCATAACCATGGCTCTCACCGCCGCCATTGACCGGCAGGCCAGGGCAGCCGGTCTCGCCTGGCCAGGTGCGCTACCACCGGGAAACAAACCTTGGCAGCAGCCGCACACGCAGGTAGGCAGGTGCAAGCGCATGCGCACGACAATTTCTCGACGTCTTCTCCGATCCTCGCCCTCCTCCGTCGTCACGGCACCATATATATGCGCGCGAGCTCTCGACTCCCGAGTGCTCGTTCCACCTCCGATCCACACGGCACACCAACGCTTGCCGCTTGCGCCAACAACGCAGCTGGGGCTTCGGGGCTTCGCGTTCCACCGACAGATACGACGCAAGGCTCCGACCAAGCAGGCGCCGGCGCCGTCGCCGGCACGCCCCCGGCGCCCACGTCAGCAGGTGCGGCGGGCGTCATGACGCTCGCCAGCATCCTCACCGTGGCGGGCATCCTCCTGCTCTTCGTCTTCTTCGCCTTCGGCATCATCGCCCTCCAGTACTGCATCAACGCCTGGGACAGGGAAAGCCAGCAGAGAGAGCAAAGCCGCCGGCGGCGGCGCCGTGGTCCGCGGCCGGCCGCCGGTGGTAGCAGCGGTGGGACGCGGGCCAGCAGGGGCGTCGACCCGGAGCTGCTGCGCTCGCTGCCTGTCACGGTGTACCACGGTTCGGACAAGGGGCAGCGGTACGCGGTGGAGTGCGCCGTGTGCCTCGCCGAGCTCCAGGACGGCGAGGAGGCCCGGTTCTTGCCCCGCTGCGGCCACGGCTTCCACGCCGAGTGCGTCGACATGTGGCTCGCCTCCCACACCACCTGCCCGCTCTGCCGGCTCACCGTCTCCAAGCCCGACGACGTATCTCCTCATCCGGTGCCTTCCTGCTTGGCTCTTCCGCCCGTCCCGCCGGAGCCCGCGAACTACGCCACCGCCAACCTGCCCGCCAGCGTGCTTCTCTGGGTGTCTGACCATGGCGCCGTCACCGCTGGCACTGGCTCCTCCACGGCCGCCATGGTGATCGAGATCCCGGAGTTGGCCGTGCCGATACCGACGCTGACCCCGTGCGACGCTGCCAAGTCACCGGGATCTGCGAGGCTGAGATCGATCAGGAGGCTCTGGAGCTTCGGAAGGCAAGGTGCGGGGGCGACTTCTTCCTGCTACTGTGCCGGTGCAGGTGCGAGCGAAGGAGTCGACTTGGAGCAGGGCATCAGCTAGCGTTACCATCGCGGAACACGAGACATGCGGCCGACCGGCCAGCAGGAGAGCAGCACCAATTTGTGCGCTCTCTGCAATAGACAATAGTGTAGATGTATATTCATGTAACATTTTTTTAGTTTAGAATATGTAGATTCTTTTTTCTTTTAGATTTTACACTTTTATTCCAATATAAATATAACTAGCCAGCAAATAGCGAGGATAGTTAACCTTTTTTTCATTAAATTAAATTGTTTTTTAGTTGAAAATACCTTGTGGAGATAGATTTGCTTGACTTGTTTTGCAACTGGTTATCATTGACCAATCTTATTGTCATCACCCTCCACTCTTTTTCTTCACCCATTTATAGCCTGTGTCCTCCGGGATGGGAATGGGCCAGGGTTGGCCCTGGCCTTGGACCCGGCCCAGTGGCCTCAAGGCCAATTTTAGGGACCATGAGTCACCCATTTCACTTAGAGGCCATGCCTCGTTGGCCCACCGGATACTATGGATGGACATAAATAGTTCTGCTATTATAAGGTGTGAATACTATCAACATATTTAGAAAATATGAGATAAAAATAGTTAAATATAGGGACTTGCTATATCCCAGTCGACTGAAATTTACATCTTTTTTCAGTCGACGTTCACAGCCCTTGGATCTGCATCCAAGGGCTCAGATCTGTCCCTGTTGTTTTTCTTCTTCTAGCAAGCCAAACGGATCCGAGAATGAACCCGTAAAACCAACCCACGCGCTATTGAGCCCGCCAAACCTTAAACGTGTTTAGTTACCAATACCCGCTATATCAACTCAGTGCTCATTTGGGCCACAACGTAGCTATTGGGCCAGTAAAATATTACACATAATTTACAAATCTGCCACTGCAATCTCCAGCAAGAAAGAAACACCACGATTGAATCTAGATACACAACGAGATGTTCTCAGTAAACAATGTCAATGAATAACCGCTACTAGTCTCTCCATTCTTGCCATAGTAGTCACAATTGGTGGTTCCCTATCATAGTCTGCATCTTTCGGAAGCGAAGCTCCCACCAGCAGTCAGCATGCATATCATAATCATGCATGCCTTCAACGTTCCATCAGTCCCTGCATGATTGCCTATTTTTGTATTATTGTCAAGTACTGCTACTAGTAGCAATTACAAGTAGGGCATGCATATATGGTGACAACTCAAGATCAAACCATACCAGGCCAGTAGTTGTGCCACTACAATTAACTAGACAGTGCTCTGTCAAGGGAGTGATTCAGAGTGAAGGTGCCCTATATTCATAATTAATGACTTCTAATGAGCACAGAAAAAAGAAAACATATTACAAAGATCCAGAGAAAAGTATCATCCCGCATCTCTCAAAAAGCTTTATTTGACAAAACAAAGATCCAAACTCATTGTTCTAATATTCTCCAGTTTTACCTAAAAAATGATAGATTCTGAAACTGCAATCTACCTAATTTCCAAGTCTCGTTGCACATCCATTTCCACCTCAGTTAAATTGGGTTTCCAAAGCTAAAACACTACTACCAGTCTAGAAACTAAATTACAATGAGCCAACGAAGCTACGCTAGTCAAATTGTCGTTTCTGTAGACATTTAGCAACACAAACTATACACAAGGGAAATGATGTTTTAAGTAAAGAATGACCAACCTCTCCACATATAGACTCAAAGAACAATTTCATATCAGCCTAAGTGACTTGCAATAAGTGCATATATTAAAATAGAACAATGACAGAATGAGTACCTAGTGTTTGCATAGGTGTTCATAGCAATCCATCTTGTCAATGTTTTTACAGTAAATAATGATTGCACACATTTCACGTCCATCATCAGACTGCAGATCACAACAAAGTGGCAAAATTGTTAGAGATCATAAGTAGATACAACCAAGCACAAATTTCATGTTCATTAAAATTCCACAAATTGCACATGCTCACAACTAAATTTGCAATGCTCTATCCTTGCAGTTTACATTATTGGTGATTGCAATCAATTAACATAATGGAGGACGGTGCTCATTCTAGATAACATTATGAAGCGAAGTGATTTTACTAGCAGAGATGGCAATGATAAAAAAGGTTACAAAACTAATTTAGATGACATGAGCCACAAATATGTAGCATGCAGAAAACATCAATAAGTGTGATTTGTGATGAAAGAATGGATAGCTACCCATCTATTGCTACAATAGATAATCTTATTAATACAGGGAGTAATGAAAGTATCTGAATTTATGGGGCTCATGAGAAAAGTCATAAGAGCAATCATCAAGCAATATAGACAAATTACCGCAATTTTACTAGAGAGTCAATTAACCATGATGACAAATAAACAGGTAGACAAAAGAAAAAACCAAAATATTGACAATATGATAATATAACTTCTCAAAGGGAAGAAACAGACCGAACTTAGTGATAAGAAACACATAAACTACACCTCAGAGCCACAAGAAAGAATGGAAGGAAAACTATACATGAACTTGTAAATCGGCAAATTATGTCCACGAAACTACCAAAGAAAGCAACATAAATCTTGACAGTCTGACAGTATAGAAATTCACAGGTAAATTCCTAACTCACTCTAAATGTATTTGACAGTGGTTATCTCAAACTGCAGGTAGTATTCCTAACACATGTATGTATAGTCTGTCGAGTTCAGCACGTCATTCCATACAAGACAAGCCGCAGAAAATGCAAAAATCGGCAGCCACTTAAATAAGCTAGCTGAAAAGACAACCATGAGGCAAATTTGTTCAACAACAACATATTGCATATGCTCGCAACTGAAATTGCAGTGCGCGGATCTTGCAATTTAAATTATAGTAGACTGCAATTACCTATTTGAAACTTCAGTTTAATGTTTCCCATACTGGACAATTAAAGATCACAAGTAAAAATAGGCCACTATGAGAGGACGAACAAAGCTTTTACGGTCCCAAATGCAAGATCTTTGCCAACGCTAAAAGTGTACAATGACAAGTGGTTCCATGCAATTCTAAAACTGAAAATATGGTACAATAGTTATCAGTAACTTGCTACTCAAAGTTTCAAGAACTAGATGTTCAGAGTGGACCATAATCACTCTACAAGACATTTGAGAGCTTCCTAGACTTGCGCAGAGGCATAAACTTGACTCTCTAATTACTACCACTTGTTAGAAACAATCAGACAGTGACAAGCTACAAAAACTACAAATCTGATCTATACAAGAAGATCCTGCTGACCATTCTTGCATGATCCTATTTGTATCGACATGCATGAGCTGCTAGAAGCACATCCTTCCAATTAGAGATCAAACTGACACACAACACTTCGCACACACAAAAACTAAGGCCTACATTTAGTTGCAACACCAGATATATGTGTATAACTAAGACTGAAAGTTCTTCCACCAGTTGCATAATCAATTGTTCTACTATTTATACCATGACAATAATTTCATACAATACAAAAGAAAATTGCACGTTTCAGTTACTGTAACTATTACTTTTTGAAAATGCAATTTCTACTTTATGTTCACCACTTACCAGTGAGATGATCACAAGGCCAGGTTGCAGCGTGTTGCTCCTGCATTGCTGGGAGCCTGGGACATCTCATAGCTCTCTAGCTGCAGTTTTCTCTGGTTCAGGAAGCTCTCGCTCGCCTTCAGGTCTACCTCAAGTGTCGTCTCGGGGTCACTGTCCCTCATCTCAAGACTGGCTGCATTAAAATGAGCAGTTCAGTTTCTTGACAGATGTTGTATTACATCAACAAAGGAGTTAGCGGTGAATGAATGGAGTCCTACTTCCCAGGTTATCAAGAAATTTCACAGAGATGACAAAAAAATGACAACACCCTGAAACAATCACATAACACTATAGTGCTATGTTTTTACGGGATGCTAACACATTTTTTCATATTTTATGACACAATGTTCTTTTTTACGAGGATAGTCATAAAATGCGTTTAATTCATTGAAGCTTATACAATCTTATTACCCGTGTATGCAAGTTAATTGGTATACCATCTGTTTTTGGTGGGGTCAGTTTTCACACAAATCATAATTAACAGACTTCAAGATGTGTTAGCACAAATCACAGAGGTAATTTTTTTTCTATGAAAGGACAAGGACAAATAAGAGATGTGTGTTGACACAACTAACAATTAATAGATTTCAAGATGTGTTAGCATAAATCACAAGAGATAATTTTTTTCTATGAAAGAACAAGGACAAATAAGAGGTGTGTGTTGGCACAATCACAATTAACAAAGTTCAAGATGTGTTACCACAAATCACAAGAGAATTTTTTCTATGAAAGAATAAGGACAAATAAGAGGTGTGTGTTGGCACAATCACAATTAACAAAGTTCAGGATGTGTTAGCACAAATCACAAGAGACAATTTTTTCTATGAAATAACAAGGACAAATAAGAGTTGTGTGTTACCACAATCACAATAAACAAAGTTTAAGATGTGTTAAAACAAATCACAACAGACAATTTGTTTCAAGGACATGAATAGTGTGCTTTAGCCACCCACAGATTGGTCCTACGCACGATCCTGCAAATGATTAATTTGTAGGTCGCAAGTCTAGGTTAACCCAATATGATTACCTCCCTAATACTAATCCAATCATAGCTAGGGCTACCCGACTAGATATGGACACAGCACAAGCCCAATAATTGCATGCCTATAATACATATGTCCAACAATAAACAAGGTACAATGAATATATATGATCTTAAAAAAATACAGAATATATATATGAAAATTGCACATTTAAGGTAGTGCAAGTAGTGCTTGTTCATAATGTAATAATATTGTATATGTATATAATTAGAAAATCTGACTCATACATGTGAAAAGCAAATACACAGAAAAGCACAAATGAAAAAACTCTAGACTGTTAGCACAAAGACAAATCTAATTCTATAAACAATAATCAGGTTTGTGCTGAGACCTCTCAAGGAAGAGTTGTAACCACCTAAGCACGGAGCCGGAGTCATTTTTTAGTAAATGCACATAT